TTAAAATGTTCCGTCTCACCCCCATGCACTGACCATTGCTGCAAGCCTTATATTTACTCTTCATAGCTGATACTGCAGGTATGTGAAAACTATTACAGGTACATTACCTTAATGCATAGTAACACATTCATAAACATTTTTCCTCTGTGTTGGATAAGGTTAAATAGGATGGGAAGGAATTGTGAGAACCAGTGGAGGAAAGGGACTGCTACATCTTCCAAGAACCACAGAGGTACAGACAATGCTCCATATTAAACGGCCTGTTGCAACTGAGGTCAGATTGAGACTTAACCCTGAATCTTATCAAATCTCACTTCATTCTCAACCAATACCTAGCATGAAATGCAAGCCGCTGATAGAAAGCAGAATGTCTACGGTTACACTATGTTAAATCCCCTCCCTCATCTCAAACATCCCTTGCAACAGTTCACTGTTGTTGCAAGAGACTCAAATTTCAACGGTACTAATTTCAGTTTTACTCAAAAATTCTGCAGGATGGTTATTGTGGAAATTGGAAATTTGGGACACAGTTGCATTAGGTAGGTTTCTGCTAAGTTTCCGAACTGTATCTTATCATAACAGGTCTAATAGAACTTAATGTGGCAACTAAACGCCTGCAATGACAAGTGACCCACTCCTCAAACAAAAAAAAAACGTAAAATACTTCTCTATGCACTGAAAAGTTTAACTTCACCCTAGAACTCCAACTGGAGTGTTCAAGCTCAATTTGCTGGGTTCTAGTCCCAAATTATATTGGCACATTTCCAGGTAATGTTATGAAAGACTGTAATTCAGTTGTATGTGGATCAAGCCACTGAGATACCTTGTCATGACATCTGCCCCCTTAGTTTCTACATAGACTCTATATACCTTCTGATGATTGCCATATGCATTGGTGCAACTGTTGAAATGTAGTGTGATGTAATTGACTAAACAGATATCAAAGTTGAACTACGGAATGCAAAAAATGTTTTGTAAACCAAAAAAGGAAGTGCATTACCTCCATTGTATCAAAACATCTCATTGTTTTCTACTTGAACTCACATCATTATAGTGAAAATGAGGCTGTTTTTTCTGAATGCTCTCACTTCCCACCCAAAAAAAAGGATTTCACAACAGCAACTTATGTTAATAATGCTAGCACTGAGTGACATTAGTTGGATATTTGGATGAATTTATTGCTGATCAATTTTATTTTAGTCTTGGTACTAATAGCGGCATTTAGTTGATTATCTGTATTCAATATTTTGAATTGGAGATTAGTAGTTGCATATGTCTACATTCCGGATGTCTGAGCGCCTTTGCAATTCTCTGAAGGAGCCAGGAATGAGACAGGAAATGCGAGTCACCCTTTAAACAGATGCATGGTGTATACTATCAGTCTGCAATGACGTCTTTTGGCTTTAATGACACAATCAGGAACTCTGTAATGGTCTGGTCAGAGGAACAGTCAGTGTTTGTGCAATTGCAATCGACGTGCTCACATTTGGACTGCATTTTCCACCCCACATTGTTTCACTGACTGGTCTTCCTTTCATAGTTATTAGGAATCCAGGCATCCTGTTTTTCAAAACAGAGTCATGACTACCTTTAACCTTTATTTCAACACACAAATGTTAATCTGATTTTACACCCAAACTATACTACTCTAACTGAAGTTCAAACTTTAAAGGTACACTAACCTTTATACACAAAAATTGTTGGGAAATAACTCTTACATGTGAGGGGGGACAAACTGCATGTGTTATTTTTATGTAAACAATGTAGCAAACCATACTGATATGACATATCATTAGATTTTGCACATTTATGAACAAACAAAATATAAAATAATGGTATATGTTATAACTAAAAACAAAGTCTTCTTTCCCTTTTATGGCTCCCACAGGATTTCAACACCATTTTTTTTCTGCACAGTAACTGTTCAAACCAAGAAAAGAAGGATATTCAATTTAAAAACTCAAGGAAACATTTTTCACCAAAAAAAATGCATGGAATGTCCAATCCAGTATAATATATCCACATTGCTGTACCTGTCATACGTACCTTTTCTGTCTTATTGTAGAACTTTAAAACACCCAAAATTTCCAGTTCACTTTGATCCAGCATATTGTATAGCAAAATATAGCTAAACTGCTTGTTGGAATGATTGAGTGAATTACTTCTACAAAGCATTAGTTAAATAAATATATAAAATTAGATGCCAGTGTAGGAGGTATGGTGTATCTGCATTATGAGAGTCTGTGGAGATCTTATGAAATTAGTAGCTTTATTAATGGTAAGTGTATGTAAATCAAAGAACTTCAGTTCAAAGTTGACCTCGAACTTGAGGCATAGAGATTGCAAAACATTAAGGAGTGAGTGAGATATCATGACATTTTGACACAGAAGGCAATCATATCCATTGAGTTAGGCATGGTTTAATGTTTAGTGGTCAGGGAGAACAGGATGCGGCTGCAACTCAGTTAGGGGAGGGGATCTCACCTGTAGTTGTAGAAAGCTTAGTCTTTGACACTATCCAACGTATATGGGATACTTATTACCAGTGTGAATTAAAACCATACTGATGCAGCCAGGACCAGAGGTCCTTAAAGCAGTGATAGTTGCCCTCTGTCAGAGGTTAAGTATGTCTCCGAGGCTAGAGAAGGGTGCAGAGGATTCTTCAGATGTGATTCATGCAGCAATAAATTGCACAGGTAAAACTAAGAATGGAGTTCTGTTGTGTGTGTTTAAGAAGCGAAGGTAAGACATACAAAACAAAATCTCGAAGGAAATAATCTCTGGAAAGAACCTGAGTGTTGTACAATTTGAAACAGGCACAAATAGATTGGAAGTTTAAATGAACACTGGAAATGCTGGAGAAACTCAGCAGGTCTGGCAGCATCTATGAAGAGAGATAAAAGAGAGTTAACATTTCGAGCCTGATATGATTTTTCTGCAGAACCATTCTGAAGAAGATTCATATCAAACTTGAAACATTAACTATTGTTTCTCTCTTCATAGATGCTGCCAGCCCTGCTAAGTTTCACCAACATTTTCTGTGTTTCTGTCAGAATTAAAGATTCCATAGTATTTTGCTTTTACAGAAATTTAAATCATAGAATCCTTACAATGTGGAAGCAGGCCATTCAGCCCATGAAGTCCACATCGAACCTCCAAAGAGCAGGCCACCCATACCCACCCCCACACCCTAAATTTCCCATGGCTAATTCACTTAGCCTGCACATCCCTGGACACTATGGGCAATTTGGCATGGCCAATCCAGCTAACGGGCATATCTTTAGACTGTGGGAGGAAACCTACGCAGAGACGGGGAGAATGTGCAAACTCCAACCAAACAGTCACCTGACAGTGGAATCGAACCCAGGTTTCTGGCACTGTGAGGCAGCAGTGCTAACCACTGAGCCACCGTGTCACCTGAATGCATGACTGAAAGTGGTTGGGCGATGTGGGGAAGAGGGAGAGATTTCAGATTGCGGGATGTTGGCACAAGAATTGATAAAATAGGATTTGCCCCACGGCGTTAGACTGCTCTTAAATTGGCTTATACCAGTGTTTTGTTGAATGATTAACCAGGGTGATAGATAGGACTATAAACCAAGGAGTAAGTATGGTCCAGATAAGGAAGAATTCTAAAAACCTGAAAAGAAAAGTTGAGATGTAGACCAAAATAGCCATCTGGGAAAATCAAGTATATTGTTAGTCCCTGTACACCTTCCATCTGCACTCTCTCTGTTCAAGTTGTCTACCTTGCTGTGAATGTTTACCAAATTCAGATATAACTTTTTAGCTGCATCAACTCAGTTTAACTTTTTACTGTTTTCCTCCAACATAGACTTGGTCACTAATGCCCTCTTACTATTATGATGAAGCATAAATTAAGTATGATAATAGGATGGAGAAAGTGAAATAATCCAATTTGGAAGATTGGAACAAGAAAGCTATTTTAAAACGTCAGAGCCTAATGCAGAGAGATTTGGGGTCTTTGTACACAAATCACAGAAAGTTAACATACAGATACAACAAACTATATGGTCTCACTAAAATATATGCTGAGAGGATTTCTTTTTTCTCCTGGGTGGAGAATCTTGTCTTACAAGGGCTTGGCAATTTGAGAGAAGGAGAAAATTCTTCACTCAAAGTGTTGAGAGTTTTGAAATTTTCCACCCCAGAGATCATGGGGCGTTGGACAGGGCAGAAAAACAGAGTTGATGAAAAAGTTCAGACATGAATTTACTGAATGATGAAGCAGGTGTGAAAGTCCATGAAGGGCCATTCTTACATTTTAAACTACATCTCTCAAACCTCTGAACATATATCCTGAAATAGACATTGAATTTTTGTGAGTAACCTCTACACTTTGTTATCTACTTAATTTGAATGAGCATTTAATCTGCTTTTCTAAAACCTTATGCTTTCAGCTGAACCATAGCTGCATCTTCAACTATTATCTTTGATTTGTTGCTGTATAATCAACTGAAGTGCCATAATGCTAAATGCCATTTTGAAGTAGCTACACTTATCTGTTTCTTAGGGTGACAGGCAATTTAAATTGCCCAGAGAGTATAAAACAGGGATTATTTATTCTACTAGCAATGAATCTTTATTGACAGTAACAGCAAAGCTAACTCACAGGTATTAAGTATTTTTTGTTTAATCTTTCCAATCCATCAGGATACTGTTGTAGAATGCAACTCCAGAACCCTAGCCACCCATGTAACAGTGTTCAGTTGGTAGAACTCCTCCAGAAATTTCCAGTCAATCGCCCAGAAATTTCTTTAATTTGGTTTTAGATTCACACATGAAGACTTTCAAATAAAATCTGTATTAAGCATTTATAAAAAAAACCAAAGTAGATGTAACCTACGCCAAATATAAACCAAACAGGGCATAATATAATAAACAAGTTTTAACTGCCTTTTTCTGAACAGAATGCAGTTCGGCAATTTTGCATTCTTTATATCTCAAGCACTATCACATAGAAAGAAATAATTTCTTACCTTGTTGGAAGCCATCTCACTCACTGACCGGTAGGTCTGTATAGTCTCAAGTTGGTCCAAACACCAATCTAATTCTTCCAGAGTCTCCATGGCTAACTTTTGGTAGGATTCTTCTGTAAACAAGCAGATAGGCATGTAGTCAGGGTCCAGCTGCTGCACAGTGTCCATATCGATATTACTTGAGCAGCCCAAAGTCAGACCACAGTGTTCCTTCATCACGCGTCCCTGGCTCTCTCTCTGGTTACTGAATTAGCGATATGATGCTGCTCTGCGGTGTTCGTTGATTCAGGATGTCAGCAATTCATCAATCAAAATCTTTCTTCTAAACATGACAGGGCAGCTACGAAATGACACCATGAGATTTCCATATTGCTTGTTTTACTCACAGTGCAATGGTTTCCCAAATAAGACGTCACATTTACAACATAAAATTAGTCAGAACGTTGTTTACTTTCGGAGTGAAACTATGACCAGCAATTTTCGTTATGGTGTAATTACATTTCGAGAAAAATATGTCAGCTTCACTTTGATATATAACTGTTTAGAGGAAAAATACTTTTAAGAGGTCTAACAAAAGTACACAAAAATGCATTTAGAGACACCAAATCAGCTGGCCACTTGTGTGACGGACTTTCCACAATTTCATGATTAGAATTATACGATCCTTAGATAAATTCACACAAGGGAGTCCCCTCTTCTCAGCGAGTGCCAGATTTAAGTTTTTTCACTGATCTGTTTGCAGTTATAGAAGTTTAACTGAACGGAAATGCCAAAAACTTTCTGGACCCAGCCAAAATCAGACAGAAACCCTGGACTGGATTTTCATGCCACATGACAGCAATCCATTAAACCAGTCAATGATAATACACTGCAAAATTACAACTAATTCTAGGATCAGACTAATCTAAACTTGGTATAACAGTTACACTTCTGCAAAACTTTCCAAGGGTAGAATGCAATTCAAGGTTAGGTTATTATTTGCAATGGTTAGGAGAGGAATAGAATTTAAAGAAACAAACATTTCTAGAACCCAGAAAACATAATCTCCACTGTGGTTGATGGATTAACACAATAAAGTATAAAGACGTGTTCATTGTAAGTTCAAAAACAAAATACTACAGATGCTGGAAATCTGAAATAAGAACAGAAAATGCCACAAAAACAAAGCAGGTTAAAGAGCATCTGTGGAGACAGAAACAAAGTTAAGGATTTAGGTTCACTTCTAAACTTGAAACTCTACTTAATAACATGTACCATCTACAAGATGCACTGCAGAAATTCATCAAGGCACCCTGTACAGCAGCTTCCAAACGCATGACCACTACCATCTGGTTGGGTAAGGGTAACAAATATACATGGGAACACTAACACCTGCAAGTTTCCCTCCAAGCCACTCACCATCCTAACTTTAAAATATATTGCTGTTTCTTCAATGTCTCATGGTCAAAATCCTGGAATTTCCGAATGGCAATGTGGGTCTATCTATAGCAAATGGACTGCAGATGTTCAAGAAGCAAACCCCCCATGGCGCTGTGGTACCGAGTTTGGCCAATCAAATCGGGAATGTTTCTTTAAATCCTATAGTAAGTGAATTATGGTTAGGGGGATTGACACTGGTCTCCAAACTAAGAGTGCCAGTCGCAAAGACTTTGTCACTTACCTGGAGTCAGGATTAAAAATATCTCCCTCATGCAGGGAGATGATGTGGAAATTATTACCAAAGTGAGACAGAAGTGACACAGTGTACAAATATGGGAGTGCACCAACAAATAAAGTCAGATTGGAGAAGAATAGTTAAAATACTACATTAAACTGTCTTTATATGAATGGATGCAGCAACGATAATGAGATGGGATAAATGGACTGCACAAATTGAAATAATGTTAGCCATTAGAGGCATGGTTGCAAGGTGACCAAAGTTGGAAAATGAATTCACAGGAGTATTTGATATTCTGTAAAAATAGAGTGGAAAAAAATGAAGTTGCAGCAACTCTTTGAATTAAGCATGTGTTTTGTACAGGAGTAAGAAAGGATCTTGACTGGAAAGATCAAGATGTAGAACTGATTGACTGGATATAAGAAAACGCAAACGAAAGAAGTCACTGGTGGGAGTTATTTATAAGTCCCTTAACAGTAGCTTCACTGTAGAACAATGTGTAAATCAATAAATAATGGGGTTTGTCAAGAGGGTTCTGCAATGATTTTTGGTGACTTTAATCGTTTTGTTGATCAGACACACCAAATTGGCAAAGATAACTGAGAGGATGAATTTGTGAAATGTATTTGGGGAAGTTTCTTAGACAATCTATTAGGAAGGAACTCAGGGCAGATGATACAAAGATAGGTAGTATTGAGGAGGCTGCAGAAGGATTTAGACAGGTTAAGAGCGTGGGCAAAGAAATGACAGATGGAATACAACGTGGGAAGATGCGAGGTCATACAATTTGGTAGGAAGAAGAGGCATAAACTATTTTCTAAATGGGAAGAAAATTCAGAAATCTTAAGTGCAAAGGGACCTCGGATTCCTAGTCCAGGATTCTCTTAAGGTTAATTTGCAGGATGAGTCGGCAGTCAGGAAGGCAAATGCAATGTTGGCATTTATTTTGAGAGGACTAGAATATAAAAGTAGGGATTTACTTCTGAGGCTTTATAAGGCTCTGTCAGACCACATTTAGGACATTGTTCACAATTTTGGGCCCCATAAATCAGGAAAGATGTACTGGCCCTGGAGTGGAGGGTCACAAGAATGATCCCAGCAATGAAAGGCTTAAGATGTGAGGAACGCTTGAGGCCTCTGGGTCTATACTTGATAAAGTTTAGAAGGATAAAGGGGGGATCTAATTGAAACTTACAGAAGACTGAAAGGGGGCTTGGATAGAGTGGATGTTGGGAAGATGTTTCCATTAGCAGGAGAGACTAAGACCCGAGGGCACAGCCTTAGGGTAAAGGGGAGATCCTTCAGAACGGAGAAGGAGAGAAACTTCTTCAGCCAGAGAGTGGTGAATCTATGGAATTCATTGTCACAGAAGGCGGTGGAGGCCAGGTCATTGAGTATACTTAATCCAAAGATAGGTAGGTTCTTAATAAAATTTGAAAGAATGTGGATACTGTAAATCAGAAACAAAAACAGAAGTTGTTCGAAAAGCGCAGGAGGTCTGGCAGCATCTGTCAACAGAAATCGAAGTTAACTTTTTTGGGTCCGGTAACTCTTCTTCAGAACTGATGATAGCTGAGAAAATGTTGGTTTATCTGCAGAAGTGGGTTGGGGGGTAAGGAGTAAACGATAGGTGGGGATACAGCCCAAAGAGATAGAAGAGCAGTTGGACAGACAAAGGAATCAATAACAGGGTGAATAGTTGTTAATGGAGACTAACAATAGGTAGTGTGTAACGGCAGGCTATGTGAATAACAAGGCCTGGTGTGTGGGGTGGGGGGCTAGGACATGGGAGAGTTTAGGCCCTAAAATTATTGAACTCAATATGGAGTCCGGAGGGCTGCAGGGTCCCCAAGTGGAAAATGAGGTGTTGTTCTTCCAACTTGCATTGAGCTTCACTTTAAGGCTGCAGCAAGCCAGAGACAGAGATGTTGGCCAGGGAACAGGGTGGTGTGTTAAAGTGGCAGGCAACTAGAAGCTCGGGAACGTTTACAAGGGCAGGACGTAGATGTTCTGTGAAGCGGTCACCCAATCTACGCTTAGTTTCCCCAGTGTAGAGAGACCACATTGTGAGCAGTGAATGCAGTAGACTAGATTGTGGGAAGTGCAGGTAAAATGCTGCTTCACCTGGAAGGTGCGTTTGGGTCCTTGGATACTGAGGAAGGAGGAGGTAAATGGGCAAGTGTTACACCTTCGGCAGTTGCAGGGGAAGTGCTGTGGGGCTGTTGAGGAGGGTCGGGAGTGGAGGAAGAGTGGACCAGGGTGTCCCAGAGCGAACGGTCCCTGCAGAAGGCGGACAAGGGATGGGAGGGAAATGTGTGTCTGGTGGTAGCATCTCGCTGGAGGTGGCAGAAATGGCGTCTGATGATCTTCTGGATGTGGATGGTAGATAAGGACAAGGAGATCCCCTAGCACTTTTGCAGGAGGGAAGAGACGGGGTGAGGGCAGAGAGTGGGAGATGGTTCGGACCCAGTTGAGGGCCCTGTCAACAATGGTGCTGGGGAATCCTCGTTTGAGGAAGAACGTGGACGTTTTGGAGGCTCCCTTATCAAAGTTGGCCTCATTGGAATGTATGTGATGGAAACAAAGGAACTGGGAGAATGGAACTGAGTCTTTACAGGAAGCAAGGTGTGAGGATGTATAGTCCAGGTAGATGTGGGAGTTGGTGGGTTTATAGTGGATATTAGTGGCCAGTCTATCCCCAGAAATGGAAACAGAGATGTCGAGGAAGGGAAGGGAGGAGTCAGAAATAGACCAGGTGAAAGTGAGGGCAGGGTGGAACTTGGAAGCAAAATCGATGAATTTTTCCGATTCCAGACAAGAGAAGGAAGCAGCACTGATGATATCATCGATATTTTGGAGAAAGAGTTGTGGGTGGGGGCTGGAATAGGACCGGAACAAGGAATATTCCACGTACCCCACAAAGACACAGGCATAACTGCGGCCCTTACAGGCACCCATGGCTACCCCTCTGAGCTGAAGAAAATGACGGGAGTTAAAAGACAAGTTGTTGAGCGTGAGGACGAGCTCGGCCAAGTGGAGGAGGGTGGTGGCTTGGGATGGTTCAGGCCTTTGCTCCAGGAAGAAGCAGAGAGCCCTAAGACCATCCTGGTAGGGGATGGACATGTAAAGGGATTGAACATCCATGGTAAAGAGGAGGCGGCTGGACCCTGCCAACTGGAAATTCCAAAACTGGCAGAAAGTATCAGAGGAATCATGGATGTACGTGTGCAGGGTCTGGACCAAGGGAGAAAAGACTGAGTCAAGGTAGGAAGAGTTGAGTTCAGTGAGGCAGGAGCGGGCTGAAACAATGGGTCGGCCCGGACAGTCCTGTTGGTGGATTTTTGGAAGAAGGTAGATGCGAGCTGTGGGACTATCAGCTTGGGGGCAGTTGGGGAGGGGGGGGGGGGATGAAATGACCTCAGTGACTGTAGTTGATAGAATGGCCTGATATGCCAT